AAGTGTAAGCTATACTAGGTTCTCACTACTTGCGTCTACGTTCAGCGTTCAAATAAAACAATTTCACTGACAACAATTAGGACAATAAATAAAACCATGAAGTTTGTTGTATTAAACAAATCTCTTTAGAGTTCACTGCAAACATTTAAGGAAAAACATTGTATTTTAAACAGTTGTTATAAATACCAATATCACCGTTATAACGAAACATTATATTGTTTCATCCATTAATCTTTAAACCTTTGTATAATCATGGAGTTTCTAGAATTGTTGACCAATTTGCTTCGATTAACATTTTCTGGATATATTCTGGTATAATATACACGCAATGAGGCTTATGTGGTTCTCAATCGATTTGGAAATATAATCTTGAATATAAATAACATTGTAAATATAAATATATATACATATATAGATATATAGTACACTAATAAATACATGTTCATTGAGAAATTTCTTATAATTTTATTGAATTCAAGACTTACACAATTGTGTGATCGATAGCAATATATTCTATGTGAATTTCAATTTGTCTTGTTGCTTTGTTATTAAAGCACCTATAATTGCTCGGATGTGAATCATCCAGGTAATACACTGATGCAAGTAGGTTCTGTGTCGGATACGAAGCCAATAATTACTATACCAATGTAGTTTCGTGAATCTCCTAACTGACTGAAATATATCAGACATAAACCCCGGGTATAAGTCATAATAATGTATAATTTGGTAACTGTATGTTCTAGTATAGGATGATGTCTATTGACTTTCTTTTCTTTTCTCAAAATATAAATTAATGAATAAATTACAGCTCACCAAATGTAAATGTCATGTGATCGCTGATTAGGGGAAATAAAAACCAATTGCTTCTAATATTCGCCGAATTGAAGAATAATTGATTAAATAATGATTGCGACAACATTATCACGTATATACTTTATTTGAGTTAACGTACGTCAACGAGTTGTGTAGTCTTCAGTGCGCCCACACACGACGTGACAAATCTCAATTTTTTTGAATTGCGCCACCACATGACCATCCATTTTATATTTCTGTTGCAGTTGGGATTGCGAGTAGTTTACTTGTAAAATGTCAGTCTAAAGTGTGATGTCAATATTCCGTCTCGATTACTTGTATACAACGCGTAGTTCATTAAATAAATAAATACAAATTTACCGTTCCCACCTCCCAGGAACATTTGCATTACACGACGATAAATATCCATTCTCACCCACCCCTGAGTATTTGTTTTTGCTACATTTCAAACATACTCTGACAATATACACCGACAATGCCTGTAAGCCAATGAAAGCAAACGACCACTCAATGCTTAAATGAGGCGCCACGAAGGAGTCAGGGTTTTACGACCACATAGACGATGGACATCTATATCATACCTTTTAACGAACATAAATTTACTCGACGCACGAGGGCGCAAATTGTCAACTAGTTCATAAGTAGTGTGTGTGGGGGCCTTCTGGATGTCTCGATATTTTTTTCGCTTGAGCCTCGCTTTCGCTTAAAGCATTGAAGCTGAAAGATGTGCATAGTCTAAATTTACCGCCAAAACCTAAATAATAAGTAGACATTTGTATAACGTAGTTTTCTTATCTCTTGATGTTAGGGGTTTTTTAATAAAAAAAACTAAATGCTGAAAGGCGCTTAATAACGCATAAACAATTCTCAATAATAATAATCGAGTTTAAACAAAAATAAACTTCCGTTTGAATATTGGGACCTTTACATCAAATGATAGATCGTTTCATAACTAAGAAAGAGCATAATAAAAAGCACGCTGCCCAAATGTTTTGTAGTATCTAGTGGTATATTTGATAACATTTTATTTAATATTAAAAAAGCCGAAATATTACGAGCAGGTTTATAAAGTGTCAGTAGGTTACTAATATATGGAGGAGTTGTCTCATGAATGGGGAGAAAGATTATTAGAGAAATCTTGTTACATCGGCAACCAATGTAACTGATCACACTTTTTAATTTTTGCATTAAATGAGCTGTTGTCTTCTGGACTTTGCGTTGATGTTTCTTTATGTTGACTTGAGGGATACCGTATTAAGGAACGTTGCAGCGATAATGGCGCTGCAATTTATCTGTATGAAGGGTATATTGAATTCACACATGTTTTGACGTGAACCAGGAATATAATAGTTCAGTTTTGTCAGAGTTCAACTTTAAGAAACTCGTCGTCATCCGAGTCTGGATATCACTTTCCACTTGTGATATATTACTATCAAGATAATTCAAGTCGAAAAACAGGTAGTTTTGAGTATCGTCGTCGTCGTTTATGGTGTATACAATTTGAGCAATATTGGAGCAAGTACTGACTCCCGAGGGGCATGGGTAAAGAGAAAATAACTGCAGAATTAAATGTTTGATGTGTACACAGTCATTATGCATGTTTTTTTCTAAAAAAATAAAAGCAAAATCATTTGCATACGCGTTAGCGTTACTTGTACTTGGAGAGATATTACACAAGTTCACAAAGTGTAAAATCCTAAATATATCATATATACAAATATTAGTTGAATGGTTTGATATTTCAATGTACAAAATAACCAATGTTTGTCAACTACTGAATATACAGAAGAACAAATCAAACGGCATAGTTAGGTGAAAGAATTGTGTAAATGAGTTTATTCGGTAGCCATAGCGACAAAGAGTTAGCCTAAAAGTAAATACACATATCAGGGTTGAATTTCAGTGATTGTAATTTAGTGAACATAAAATAAAATATACATATTTACTACACAGCTAAACAAACAAAAACAATTGTTTATAGTCCCAACATTGCCCAGATTAAAATGGATTTTGATTTAAATGGAAAACAACTTTTACAAGATATCTTTTGTCAAGTTTCAATAGACCTTAGAAAAAAATGGCCGCCGAGACCTTGTTGCAAGAAAAGGAGCCACGAGATTTGATTTTTTTTTTCTCAAACAGTGTTCCATTCTTTTAATGCCAATACTCTCAGTGTTCAGACGCGATGGCGGTAGATCTCGTAGATGTCTCTCTTTCTTTTCTCGATTGAGATTTCGGCGGTAATTTTTAACTACGATTTACGCCTGTTCATTCATTATATGCTGCCCAGAGTAGCTTAACGACACCTATACATCCAAGAATATAGTATATGAAGTGTCTATCCCGGGGTCAACCCAGAATATAGGATATAAATAATGTCTCTGTTCCCGGTGTTAATCCTAGAATGTTATGATACCATGTCTATAGCCCCAGGGCTAAACAGAGAATATATGATATGATGTCTCCATCCCCAATGCTTAATTCCAAAATAAAGTATGATGTAATGTTTCTAGCCCCTGCGGTTTTAACCAAGAATATATAATACGGTTTCTATAGTCCCGGGCGTTAAGTGAAAATATGTTGTATAATGTCTGCTCCAGGGCTAGTCAAAGAATACATGATGTCACGATCACAAAGGGTTAATCCAAAAATATATCATATGATAAGAATATGTTACATGATGTCTCTAGCCCCAAGGGTTGATCCAAAAGTACATGGTGTTCTTATCCCAAAAGTTAATTCAAGAATATATGATATAGTGTTTCTAACCAAAGGGGTCAATGTGGTGGAAATATATATGTACAGAAATTACAACGAAGTTAATACAAATTGAGATAGTTTTAAAGAGAAAGAAAGTTATTAATACATATTTTTTTTAATATTTGTTATTTTCAGAAAAATAGAATGTAAGATTGTAGGATACGAGAATCAGGAATAGCTCCCATATCATTAAATATTTCAATAGACTGGCCAAAGATATGTAGCCAACAGTTATACTACAGGATATGAGCCACAGGGAATGGACATGTTTTCTCGGTACTTCATACGAACTGGTCTCCCTTTACTGATGGTTACCAAATCACCACAAGTTATTCTTACAGTAGGTTAAATAGAATTGAATGTTGATTCTACTTTCTAGAGTTATATTGACTTTGATGTCACCATACATCCCTAGCAAAGTATATGACACAGGTAATAGCCTAATTATCATCAATACCATACCATGCCATAGTCTAACCTTTTAACTAAGTCGGAATAGAATACAGACCTATGAAACTTTCGTTTGTTGATATAGGGTGGAAACTTTTAACATGATGCAATTCACATTTATGTAACACAATACACGTCAATTGTCAATCTTTCTTAAATACTTGTATATTAAAGAAGTACATAGTATAATAAGTGTATTAGCTGGAAAAGCTGACCATTTCCTGAAATATAGACTACAGTGTTGAAGTCATATATCATTGATGCATTGATGTAATACATAAATGCAGTGGTTCGCCAAAAATATTCTTTACCCCCTCTGTCTACATATATATGGCAGAGTTTAACATAAACAACGGTATCTAACCTCCATCTCCGCTTATTGACTAATTTGCCGTATCTGGTAGTATTCAGAAAACTCACTCTAACCATTGTAAATGATATACACAGAAAAAGGTCAATAAAGTTGATAACGGTGGGCAACTATGTAATTACACAACTTTAGTTCGATCTTTTGAGTAATCACTGTACCTTGCTTAATTTCTTTATCGACCCTTATATATTTACTCTACATAATCGTATTAGCATAAAGATAATAAGATTGTTAGTTATTATCATTATATATTTACATTATTGAATATAGTATATATACATATAGTATGTATGTGTTTATATATATATATATATATATACTATATATATATGTTTATAATATATACACGTGTCACAGATATATACAGATATACACGTGCTCTTCATGCGCAATCTTGTAAATCCCTTTAGATTTTTTATTCGACTTCGTCCAATAAATATCCTGGTGTGGATGGAGGACCAGTCGTCGGGGGAAGAAACGCTTCGTCATCTCTTAACTCCTCGTCGATTTCTAGATCAACTTGACGCCTTAAGCTCTTGGAAAGTTCTTGTTGATTGTCTGCAAAGTAAGGTATCCCCCAACATTAATACAGACATCATTGATTGGATACTCAAATATCTTGTGGGTCAAATCCATGAGGAGATTTCGATAGCTTAATTAGAACACAGTTCACAGTTGTTGGATTCACTTACCAATACAACACATGGTGCCTTCATCTTGGCACTTCCAGTCTACTGGCGCTCTTTGGAAGCCCTTACCACAGAGTGGTCTGCATTGTCCTTTACCGTGCTTCTCGCATTTAATTTCTGTCGGATCATCTGCAGCAAACAAATCGTATAAGTTATGATAACATTAAACAATGTTTTTAGTAGTTTTGAATAGGTTGTAATTTGTTTTTGCAAGTACGGGATTTATTGATGTATAGTGTCTTACCTATGCAACATTTCTGGCTGTAATCTGTGAGGCACTTGCATGAACCAGCAGCTTCTATCTTTCCCTGGCCACATTCCGCTTTGCACTCACCCCCACATGTTTTACAATTCAACACATGTTGGTTGGCTGAAACAAATAAATGAATGAATGAATGAATGTTACTTTACAATTATAAATATAATTGACAAATAAATAAATAAACACGCTTTAGCGAGTGAATGAATGCAATCAATTTATCTGTTACTATTTCTCTAGTATGCGCACGCATTGAGCACAGAGGTCAAGTGTGTTATGTTTATTACAATATTAACAAACAGCAAAAAATATAATTAAGGGTATCCACATTTTGCAATACTAGTTAGTTTTTAAATCAATGAATACTTACTTATGCAGCATGTTTTATTCCCCAAACAGTTACAGTGTCCCGATGCTTCAGCTTCTAACTCTCGGCATTTATTTCGGCATCTTCCGCCACAGGCCTGGTTGCATTGAAGATAACTGGGATCAGCTAAATGAAAGAAGTATTCGTTAAATACCAAAACAATAACAAAGATATCACATTTGAACACATTTTAGAAATATAATGACAGAGTAATTTGAAAACTTGACGATATGCAATGAACAGACAAATTTGAAATAGACAGCATTTGGTTATGTACACAGTGAAAAAGAGTCGCGATCAGCATATGTCACATTTAGTCCTAATCAAGTAATCTCCTCTAATGAAAATGCTGGGCTATATCAGAAATATATTGTTCAGTGTTTTTTTATGTAGCACAGTATTAAAGCAAAATTGGGTAATGTCCCACAGCAAAACCTTAGAACATGTCATGTAATTGCAAGCATCTCACCTATACAACATTTTCCCTTGCTACATTTACAATCGGCAGAAGATTGCATTTCACCTTCTTCACATTCGGTTCTACATCTTCCTCCGCACGCTTGATTGCACTCCAAAATACTAGGATTTTCTAAAAATTGCAATGTAACATTTGGAATTACATTACATGCACTTAAAATTGATTAGTTATTTTATCAGTTTGTTTAACTAGCCTGTCCAGACAATCAAAGACACATTTTGCAAACATTACTACCCAATACAATTCATGTTTTTAATGTAATGTATAAATTATAGACAGGAGACCCCTGAGTTGCTGTACAATGTTTTTTTTTTGTCGATGTAGAGAATCAATAAAAAACATCCTGAAGAAAGTTTCTGCAAATCAGGTATTGAAGCTAACATGGTAAAATGAGGTTCTTTCACACTGCTTGCAGAATAATGAGAATGGTGCTTACCTATGCAACACTTCTTGCCTTCCTTTGTACACTTGCATTCTCCCGGGGCTTGCATTTCAAGTGCTCGACAAGTAGAACGGCACACGCCATTACAAGAATTCTCACAAGTTATTTCATGCTCGTCGTCTAGAATTAAATAAAATTAAAACACAATGAGTATTTTTCATCAGTTATGCACGTAATTTCTAAAAGTGTTGATCGTGAATCTACACGTGAAGGTTTACTAACCGATACAACATACATCCGCAGCTCTGTCGCAGATCATTATATCAGGTGCCTGTTCCTCTTCTTCTTCACATTGACCATTTCGACAGATTCCTTCTTCGTCGTCAACGCAATGGACATGGACATTTTCTGGATCAGCTATTGAAACAACATAAAAAGTATAATCATATAAACGTGTTCTACGAATGCATCGGATCACATATCAATTTGACCGGATCGTGTGCATTTTCGAGCTTAAAGTTATAAAAATAATTACAATTGTCTGCAGAGTGATGTAAGAAATAATTATACTTTAGTGCAATTACTTGGAATGACAAATTACTGGGAAGTTCTTAGACCTAAAAATGTCTAAGCCGAATGATCAACTTCTCAAAATAAATAAGCATAATGATTTATTTCGCTTTTGGTTACATAGAATATACAATAATACTCACGAATGCAGCAGCGCGTATTCCCTTGGCATTTGCAGTCCCCGGGTGACCTGATCTCACCAGCTTTACAATTTTTTCTGCACATGCCGCCACATTGCTCACTGCAGTGTAATAATAACGGATTCTCTGTGGAGATATATTCAGTTCATGAAAATAACCTCGGAATTCAGCGCCACTGGAACTTCCAAAATGATGTATCGCAATCGTACAATTTGTTAATTAGTCAGCTGCCCAAATACTGTCACCAGCATAATTATAATATTTTTTTCCAACCCAAATGTTCACAGTTTAATAATTTAACAACACCTACCTATGCAGCAGACCCCAGTTTCGCATGTACAACCTTGCGATGCCACAATTTCGTGTTGACCGCAGGTCTTTCTACATTTACCATCGCAGGAGGCTGTGCAGCTAACAATTGATGTGTCCTCTGTAACAAGATTGGTGCCAGATATTAGAGCAAACATCATTTCAAATAAAATCGCAATATGGTATAAACACAGCCCCCCAAATCGAAATGGACTTGTTCGTGACAAACGATGATAGTTTGTACAATTTTAAATAATCTTCACCATAGAAACCGCTAGAAAGTGTCTCAATTGAAGGGAATGCAAACGACCACACAATTTAATCCCAGTGACACCTTGCAGCCACACGCGTATACTGCATTGTGTGTCAAATAATCGAATCGAAGCACGATTACTATTTCTTAACGTCCCGGTATCATGTATACCACGAGGTGCATATATCTGCCAGTCATTTTATCCTATCACTTGTCAATTGCAAGTTTATTGGTCTGTCATTTGTTCTTGAGCTTGAAAACTTCCTTTATGACTATGAAAGCGGATATAATTTGAGTCTGTGGATATTTCTACGTATTATACAATGCGTCTTTCTTTGACTACGTTTTGCAATACAGTTTATCATGTACTTGTGTATTGTCGAATATCTTCTGTTATTTTTGTTACCTTCAATGATGTATTTTGGTTTCGAATTGTCGATTTGTTATGATGTTATTTCCACATCATTCTTGGACATTAATAGAAAGATTATTTTTTATAGTTTTTATTTGTATTTGCTTGTTTAATTTGTATATATATATATATCGGCATGACAACAGTTCTTTTATTAAAAATGACAAAGAAATTACATATTAAAAATCAGTTTCTAACTCATTAACATTTGATACATTCGTGACTTGGCCGTTGTTAAACAGGGTTTACCGCACTAAGAATCCGCTAGATATACACAGATGTCCGCGGTTCCTTTGTGAAGTTTAATACCGCGTCATTACTTGCTGTATTGTAGCTGGGTTGGATGAAATGACTAACCACTAGCGTCAAATGCCCGTTTTCTACGACGATTGCTACTACTTGTGTCAAGTTCGAGAGCTTTCCTCTAATAAAGAAATTTGTATCGGACGCCGCGCAGAGTGAATAATTTGGAATGACCAGTTACACGAAAAATCATTGGCGAATTTCAGTCACGTGATATGTATGTTCGAGTTAGTCGTCTAATCCACCATCCAACGCATGTAAATTATTATTCATGCTATCCCAGATTAACGCATGCCCATACGTTTCAATTACTTACTTGTGCAACATTTATTCTGTAAACCGTAACATTTGCAATCACCACTTGCAAGTACTTCTCCTTTTTCACATTTCGATCGACATTGTCCCCCGCATTGGAGATTGCACTTCAACTGACGGGGATTTTCTGTTAACAAAAACAACAAATCGTTATTTTAAACAGACGGCCACCTGAACAAATTACATTATTGTATCTCAATGTCTATATAGCTTGTGCATGTTTGGTAATATTTATGATCACGCGACCATTTGTGCGGGCGGAAAGCTTTGGCTAATCCTTCTCGCGCTGTAACCTTTCATAGTCGGTATATTCAGACATTAAAAGCATGCTGTATCACCAGCAGTGTTGCGTATGGCATGGCATGGGACATATTATTATCACAGTGGAAATATATTGTTAAGTCATGTAAAACAGGAGATGTGTATGTAGGGTGTTATTTTCACGCAATGTTTAACATAGTATCATACAGGTACCCAGTATTGAATACAAATATGTTACTAACATGTGCGACCACATTGATAGTTGTTAGACCGGTTCAAGGTATCTGGCTAAAATAATTGAACGGAGTTGCAAATACTGCCATGTTAGAGAATTATTACTATGTCCACCATGACCGTCACTACGAATGCACAAAATGGCAACGACACCTTAATCTGTAAACAGCTCCGTTGCGAAATTAATTTTCGAGTTGCTATGTTTATTCGAAATTCCATAGATTTCCTTGAAATCATTAAGGGCGACCATTAGTAATTCAAAAGAAAATGGCAGATTTGAAAAAAACAATTGAAATATTTTGAAAGGGTAAATATTACTATAAACATTCAATAGAGTGGAGAACAAAACTTTTCTACTTTCTACTAATATAATTGTTGAACATGTTGGCAGGAGCACAGTGTTGGTATATATAAGTTTGGATAATATAAACGATGACTGGTAAATTGCGATTCTTAAAAAACAGGATATTGACATTAAATAGAAACCTCGGAATTTGTTAGTACTGATGTATTTTCTTTAGTACAACTTCAAGTTACTAATACCAATTACTCAGTTTGTAACAACTCAATTATAAAAAAAAAGGATGGTGTGCGAATCTACAGAATCGTATGTGATTACATTTTAACAACGAAACCGATTTAGGTTTACATGAACGTGTTGTCAAAAATGTTTCTGAAACATGATATTATACTGGAATAATATATACAAACAGTGCGCATTAAAACAAACAGAAACAAGTTTATGCCATAATCGCGTCAAATTCAGCCGACATCAGGACTATGTGTATGGATACGCCTCATAACATATCACTACCGAATCAAATATATAGTGCCAGGAAAATAAATATTTATAAATATAAATACCCCCGGAGTTGACCGTCTTCGGACAAGGTCACCGAGCACTTAAATTTAATCGCAATATTTATTTAGTCAGTACAGAATTTTTGTTTTTTTATAATAAATCCATCGACATAGCAAGTGTTCACGGTTTTATTTGCGCATAACGACAGATGGATTTTTAACAATAATTATTGGTAACACGTGTCGGTGAGATTATATCACGCTATCCAAAGCTAATTTTATGTTTCCTGCTTGCAATCTAAAATTACATTGTCTGCTTGTCAAGGACATAATTGATGACGTAAATCCGTAATTTCCACCTTTAGATATATTTAACAAAACGATAGAAACATTTACGTTTACGACAGTGTAACATTCATACATTTTTATGGAGGAAAATACGGTATATTTCAATTATCTTTTTTAAGCCGTAATTCAATACAGATAAAATGCAAAACTATAGGGAATATATAATATTATGTTTTGTCTTTAATTATTCACGTGTATGCGGTAATTGTGAAAACTGTTATTGGTGTGCATATTGTATACATCTTGTTGTGAATTATTTTAATATATTTCTGAATGCCCACACATTTCTGAATGTCAAACTCAGTTGTTTGCACAATGTCGTAATATTTTTTTATTGCTGTGTTATTTCGCAACTAGAGCACAAAGCGGTGTCTGTGAATCGAATCAAAACAAATAGATGGCCCAGTTATGCAAATATACTCACCTATACAGCAAACGTCTTGTAAGTTTCCACAGATAGAAGGTTTTGGGTCATTTATTTCTCCTTTGTAACACCACCTATAACGACAGGCTCCTCCCACAGATTCGCATTTAATTTTGGGGATAACAGTGACATCTGAAAAAATGAATTATTATTGCACACCTGTTTAAACAACTTACATAAAACGCTAAGAACATCAAATTCAATCTAAGCTTGATTGTTATGTCGATTTCGATTGGTTGATTTCTGTGAAATGTCTCTCACCTTGTGCCATTTCTATTACTGTTTTCCTTTTCTCTCTGTGGCGTGTTTCTTTGTGTATATTGGATTTGTTCACTTCCTAGAAGGGAATCACATTTTCATTCTCGTGAATTTACAAATATTTATTTATTTTTTATTTGGGGCTGTGAATTTTGAAAAACAGGGAACCATGCCGCGTAAAATATTACCTCGTCGAAATTACAAAGCACTGGAAATGCGTGTTAAAATGTCGAGGTTGCGTTGAGTGTGGGTTGCTGCACGGACCTATTCCAGACTCCCACTTCTGTCCCGTTACCTATATGCATCAACAATAAAGTTGTACTATGTTTTGTCACTGACATATTTTTTATTTACAGTTTAACTAACTTACCTTCGCAGGAGCCATTATAAGGCAGTGTGGGAAGTAGATGACAACTACTAGAAGAAGAATCCTAAATGATATGATAGGTTTCATTTTTTTGAGCTGAAACGAGCAGAAGTTGACAAAAAAACGTGTTAACCGAAAACAACCTACAAGCATCAGTTATTAATAAACCCATATATTTCCACCACCAGTGTGATGATATGTATTAGAATTGGAAATATGTGCACGATAGTGATAATTAATACAACAAGGGTGCCAATATATTGCTCATTCTAGCTATGTTCACAGTATATATTTTCTATTGAAATCGAATATTTATAAACACATTTCGTATGCAATATTATGAATTTTCAGCCGAATATATTGTAGGCGCACCCAGCCCGAAGCCCCGCGTTGGGTTGCAATATATTTACAAAGAGCTGGGTTTGACCAAGGTATATTTACAAAGAGCTAGGTTGGGTTGGGGCGTATTTACAATGCGCTAGTTTGGGTTGAAACCCGGGCACTCAACATGAGCAAGGAATAATTTACTCACCTATTTACAAATTGGGTTTACGTTGGTAAGAACAAATAATATAATAATATAATAAAATAAAATAATATAAAATGATACGCGCGCCGACACCTGTAAAAAAAACACAGGAATTGAAGCGTATTAGGAATAAGCAAGGCATCGTGAGAGTACACGAGACAGATAGAAAATTATTAAAATTACTGTCGTCAGATTAAACCAAATTAATGATAATTACGTCATTACGTTATTATTTTAATATATAAGTTGTATTGAATATTTGGTAATGTTAATTGAATTTCCTCTCGTCAAACGCGACTCTGTCTACGTGATACTGTAAATAACTATTTAAAGTATTATTCGACATTTTGTCACACTTTTTTCAATTATTTTAATTTTGTATACCTACTTCATACTAAAACCATTTGACAAGGAGTGATATATGGTCGGTGTCACATGTGTAGCAGGATATGTTCACTCATTACGAGATACTCGACCTCACTTCATGTATACCGTGGATGTCAACTCATTCTCTTATTGATTTGACGAGTTAGTGCAGTGTATTTGTCAATTGGTTCATTTTGTTCGAGACTCGTTAATTGTGTTGTCAGTTGTTGTCAGTTGTTTGTTTTGTGTTCTTGTAAGTATGTCTGTGTCTTTTGTTCTAAGATCTACGGTTGGGTATGCTATTTTTCACTTTTGTGTAATAGGTCGGTAGTCTATAGGAATACAAAAATAAATGTCTTAAATAAATTAATAAATAAATAAATGTTTTAAATAAATAAATAATATATTTAATTTAGAATGATTTTTAACCGGTTAAATTTTAAAGAATTTTTCTGAATATGTATATCTGTATTTCAGACCAGCATGCATCACGAGACATGTGCACAGGGAATTTATCATAGGTTGGTGTTAAACACGAGTGTGGGAGTTTCACCTGAAGTGGCCGTACTAAACATGAACTGTACATTCATGGCCATTAAAAGTAGCTGGCTCGTGGAGCGAGCCGGCCACAACTAAACCGCAATTTGCGATTTACATTTGCGATGGGTCGTCCTTTTCAGGAGCATGTATCCATCTACGATCACGTCACGGCGATCGTTCTGATTGGTCAACGACAGTAAACAGTATTTTCTTATGTTTATAAACCGTAAACGGGTTTTCTGAATGCATTGCATGATGTCGTGTCTTTTTATAGGTAATAAATATCAAGGCAAAACACAAAAATTGTGCAACCTATTTTTAAATTAAAAGGGGTTGTAGTATTCATATTTACAGTTGAAAAATGTAAAAAAAATTTTACGTGTAAAACACGATGGCACGGCAAACTTGATTTGAGAATTTTGACCATATGGAAGGGGCTACACCCGTTTTACTTTGCCTGCCCGTTTTGCAGATTCAGAAGTTTAGGTTAACATTGATGTGACTGTTATCAGCCTGTAGACTTGACATTACTAACACAGGTATTAAGCACGACGTTACACAATCGATGCTAACTTTACACGAGTTCGGCTGTTTTTTTTTTAAAAAATCATTCGCCGATATTTCAAATGCAGTCCTTGTTTAACAACCCACAGCGTAATTTTCTAGAAGCTGACGTTGTAGACTGACAGTTCGGACAGCGAAACAAGTGGTTCCAAATTGTACAAGAAAACTTATCCGAGCATATACTTGGCGGGAATACAAACTAAATTTGATATCGAAGAAAATGTACTTTGGACACAGTTCCGTATTGCGACCTTACACTGGACTATCACAAATAAAGAAAATCACAAGTGAGGCTGCAGAATACGAAACCAAGACTGGACACTAGATTTCATGGAAACTGTGCTAAAATAAAATATTCAAACAATGACGAATCACCGGTAGGTAGCACATTGCAGAATCGTGTCTGTGCTTATGCCGAGAAGTACAAGATGCTGTGGCAATTAAAAGAAATGCAGGGCTTCAAAACTGATGAAAATCACGCCAAATTTTGATTAATTAGTAGTAACTTAGTGAACGAACTTCTTAAGTATATGAAGATTTCAGACAAGATTTTCGTTCGAAGTTCTATTGTAACTACTGTAAAGAAAAAATATCCAAGAGCTTGACTACAATACTTCCAGACTGAATCAATTGGCGATGTTTATCTATACATTACTCAAATGTAACCATAGTCGCTCAAAGTAAAACAGATGTAAGTATACTGAGCAGCAAGTCCGTTAGAGTTACAGTTCAGATGAAAATCACTTTTAATACTTGGAGTCGTTTGATTGACAGGAGAGTGATCCATCATTGAACACACATACAGGCGTGCTTAAAAATAAATAAAAAAATAATTCAAATTCAAATCACTTAGTGCAACGAGAAATGTGAAACGGTTTGGTGAAACGGCAGCTTAATAGCGCTGTTAAAAGACTTACAGAACAATGGAGTAAATTTAATGTGAAAAATATCCATTTAGACAAATCAGCCGTGACTTTGACGAAACCGCGTTTCACTTGGATCTGGTCCCGATGAAATCAATCTGTCCGATCATGCCATAATGAGTGCTTTAATGATGGTTGTCAATATATTTTAATTCCAGAAATAATATTGAGTTTTGTAACCACGAACAAATAGCTTTGTGTTTGTTAAATGTAAAAAAAAAAACTGAACAAATAAAAAAAAGAAAGATTTGCATTCAACGAGCGCCGTAATGTGAAGCGAATGTAATGCTTAGTATTACGGACTGGTAACAACTGGTGACCCCACATCGCGTTTAACACGCCGCTTTCACGTGCACACTGGTATGCCCATGCGCAGGCTGAGCTTACACAGAGCAGGATTATATAGATTTCGTCAACATATTTATAACAAATAATAGCAGAAATCGACATCTCATTAGAAACTTGTGTACTTTGAAAAACGAATAGTTCTTTACAAATATCATTTTTCGAAGTTGAAGTTTTAAAACACAGGTTTAAAACTGCCTAGATAATTCTAGCTATATAACTGTGGGCGTGGATTTGATTAATTCTCACTTTTAACAAGACTACTTAGAATCAACTAAATAGTATTGTATATTCACGTATTTCGTCAAGACATCAAGGAATAATAACATGAAAACAGCGAAGTGTACTTCATGGTTTGTTTACAATGCATGTTTCCGCTTAATCGAATTTATTGAAACATCTTTCAAGAAGCCACATATGTCATCGTAACATACTTAGATAATAAACGATCATATTTAGAAGAAAAAACATTCTTGGTAGCATAAAGCAGTATGGTTTAAATCACTGATATCGAAATGGGATGCCACGCAGCTACCTGTTAATTACCAATACCCATTACGGAAAACAAAAAGCGTTCAAAACACGTCATTTAATGTCATAAACCATTAACTTGACAACAGTCTGTGGATTTTGTCTATTATTATGTTAATTTGTGTGGCGAAATGTTAATGTCAGCTGGTACTCAGCTAACAATATACTGAGTGCGAATTTCGTGCATAATCGGATCACTTCTCCAATCACGCCTACTCGGCGTGGCTGGCCGAGCTAAACATGGAGTGTTTCAATTGGGTATAAAAACGAAAGCTATCTGACACTGACAGTTTTATTTATTAAAAAGGGGTTATAAAATACACTTGCATTGACATGCCTCGTTAATTTATTTACTATATTGAAGTATCAAACAACTCAAACATTTCGTTTGCCATGTTTAGCCCAAGTCCGATGTACCTTATTGTTATGTCTATCCAACTGTTTAATTAAAAGTTCAAAACAAAAAGTTTTGAGCTTGGTATTATTATATATTTACTAAAGCTTTAATTCTGAACTATGTTGCGTAATACATGCCGAATACATTAAGTACGCTGAGCGCGTTGTTAAAGCTATTGGTCTGTTAACTGTACCCTGGACGATGATCTGCCATAATATCATAAATCGAACATATCGTACTAAATTCGTTGAAGAAAAATAATATTATTTTAGTTTGTAAGTATTTAATTGTAACATTGGACTTACTAGATAAGGTTCTTAGTACTATTGGATGTTGATCACACATTTGGGTATTAATATTGACAATTGGGATAATACCCGCGAAAATAAGATTTGATTCTACTCCCTTTTAAAACCACGTGATCAGAATTACTACATATTGTTGTGCATCATGGCAAAATGATGCAAAATGCGTGGAACAGTTCTACTCAAGTTTATACCATCTGAAAAGACATAGACTTTCCGTATCGACCGAAAACTTTCAAATATGGCCGGGGGTCAATATCATGGTGAATAGCTGTTGGTTTTTAATAAATGTGCGCACAGCACACAGCGGTTTCAGCAAATATTGAACTTTTAATGTCGACACAAATATATTATAACGCATCTTTTTAAATTCAGTTTATAATAACTCTTAAAATAATTTCAGACAACTCCACCCCGACCACACCCCCGCCCCTTCCTAGCCCCAGGCGCTCTGTGTTCAAATCGCATTAATTATATGATACATAAAAGCTATTGCGCAACAAGAAATCGCCCAAATACTATTCTTTTTATTGACACAGAAGAAATCATCAAAATATGTCTTTATAAATATAAAAGTACAAATGTTTGTATAAGCTTAAAATTTGTAAATTCCGTCACTAAAGACATGTGCATGAGGTACATAATACCTATGATTGTATTGAATGAAGCGATTCTGTTCTATTGTATCTATCGCGTCTTACCTGAGAACTTGACGGCGACGTTTATGGACTCATTCTGCTATTTAATTCCTAGAGTGACTTATTCTATTTGAAATTAAAAAAAACATACAGAAAAAATATAACCCTGAATAATGATAATAAACACATAAATATGGGACAAGTCTTGTGAAATGTACATAATTCTATCGAATCCGGATGTTAATTTTTTACTGAATATGGGCGTACACGTAATACGGCAATAACACGACAGTTTGTTACGTCATAGCGCAAGTTCATGAACAACAATGACAATTGAATTCAAAGCTATCATAGATTATGTAATTCTATCGATATTATATCAATTCAGTATACTGTAATAGAAGAAAAATATAATTTCAAATATATATTATGGGAGTGGTTTCTTGTCGTTAAATAAATTATCCGATTTTACAAATTTTGTTATGAATTAACTAAATTGTCAGCATCATAATTTATTTGACACACATTTATACGCCATGTTTGAACTGTCAACTTGCGATTGAACGAGCGATGAACTGTCATTATTTAACACTAAATAACCATCGTTTCAAACTACCTTCAAACATGAATATTATAGATTCTTAACTACATTCTGTTTTGAAACAATATTTTTATAAATACAAAACAACAATTCGTTTCAATGTATTCGCAGTTATCGCGTATGACCTACGCCACCCAAATCACTGCAACAGTTGCCGCCGAGCTGACACGGACAGGTCATCGATGTTTTTTACTGATTTTTACGATTTTAACTTTAATGTCATCTCCGGAAAATACAATATGTTTCCAAACTATGATATATTATAATTAAAAATATAACTCTACCTGCGTGACACTACTCCGAAATGCAGAAAAGTGGGAAGATATACCATGAGGAAAGAGTATGGCTCCCTGATGTTAGCTACGTCCGAAAGGCACAGCCGTCGCACTCATACGAAACTTCCTGTCGGAAATACTGCATTATGAATATTCATTAGCTACTAAATATTCATAAGATCGCGTGCTCCATCTGTTGCGCTGTTGTTCATGAAAAGGAATCTAGTTATCTAGCGGCGTTTGAGAGATGACGTCAGCAATCACGTAGGCGATGCATATTTTGAGATTGTTTTGATTACAATGAATGTCCCCACTGGCGACTGGCAGTTTGACAACGACAATGGCAGCAGCACGAGGACATTGACACCCCCGTGGTGTATAGTGGCCAATTACGTTGTCATTCCATTGAAATGGGAGGAGCCGACTACCAATTTTGGTCATTTTATCAAATATTTGCTTGTTACGTAGGCCATCTATAAAATAAACATTTGATTTTCTCATTGGTACGATTATTCATTCAGCTACCATTATGGTTTGTGACGTCACACGACTGAATCGCCACTTGTGTTCTTGGCGATGTGTCTGTATTTCAAGGAGTTTAAGGTAGCGGGACTATTATTTGCATACTTGTTTTCATCTTCTAATTGTGACCAAATGACTACAAATAGACCCAGGAAAGTATATATTTTTAGAATCGCCAGACTTCAGGCTTTTCAAAGGTGTGTTTGCCATGCCCGTATCTGCATTCTGCGATGCGTTACTTAATCAAAAGTGAAAAATTACTTTCTTTGTAAAAAAACATAATTACGCATTTATGCTGGTGATAAGAAGTTATTTTTTACTTTTCCTAGTTGTTCAATAGTCTGGTAAATTGAATGTGTCTGGTCAGTTTTATTCAAGCAACGCGTTTTGAGAAGCAGTGTGCTAAATTTCAATTACTGTTTTAGTCACATTGCCCCCAACTCAAACCACAACACATTGGTAAATAATCCATGAAATAGTTTGTCTGGACACATTCAAGTTCCTCTCATTGTAACCTTAAAGCTGTGAAAATTTGGTGTTAATCTGACAACAATAAGTATACGTTATTTTTTGTTAAAGGCGTTGTATTTTGAAAAACATAAACTCCTAGAAAACGTCCATGAAATCACAGCAAAGATTTTCAAGCTTGTTTATCTGCACAAGCAATTTGTTTTCCCATCAAGGTCTGCTTTAACATGTGTAGGGGCATCCAAATGTGTAAGGCTATTGGAAACCAAAGAAAGTAAAGGAATGGGATAGCTATAATTTGATAAAATCGGCAGATGAGAACACCAAAATCAATGATTTTTTTTCAGTGGCTGTGTGACCTTGTGTCCGACACTTTCATATGCAAATGATTAATCTGTGAAATAAACAGGGACGGAGAAAAAACACTCAAATGTTTGGAAACACTCATTGTGTGTTAGTTAGCTACTGATAACACATCCTAACATTACTTTGTCTTAAGTTTATCTTTGAAACTTATAGGCACACAGATTAAACCTGTGTTGTTGATTTTGGAAAACACTACTGAAGCTGCCTTGCTTCCCTTCAGAAAATCTACATTTTAACCAACTTACATGACATTCGAGGTTACGTTCACTTTATCAGATGAAAGTTTATAGTGCATTTCATCAATTAATAAATAAATGTGAAAATCGTGAATTTTCAACACAAATAATAGTCTCGCTAAATGTTTAAATGTTAATTTAATTTAGGTAAGCAAATAAACCTACCGCGCGCCAACTAGAAGAGTAAAAGTCGTTTGCAAATCAGTATAATTTGGGGGAAGAAAAGTACACGTCACAGTAATATGCAATATACCGTGACATCTGGGACGGGATTGAGAGAAAACCATTCAAAGCTCCCCTTTGGTAAGAATACAATAAGAGATCAAGTCTATGTACAACGTGTGTGATGTTAAAAACATTCGTTAGTCAATGATATTATTGCAAACTAGGAGGTGAATGCATTACGGGACTGAAGTTTAATTCTCATCTCATTTCTGATGGAGATGGCTTTTGGATGCACTAAAAAGAATTCAAGTTCAAACGGGCCGTAAGACTCTAAAAGTTGGAAGGCGTTGTTAGATCCTTAGTGTCAGATTCCGGTGGGAATTGTGTGAAAAAATGTGTCAACACAGACTAATCCCTTGTTGAGACTGACGTCAATCAACGCCATTGGTGGATTCAGCGCTTTATAAAATTCAATCATCATAAGAGAACTATATTCTTGCAAATATAGTTTGAGCCATCTCTTTATTACAACACTGTCATTTGGCGATTGTTTTAAAGTTGCATTTGGGCATAGATTAAATTGCTGTATATCCAATATTGGTTTCTTATATTAGTTTAGTTGAAATCTTTCGACAGTTACTTTAAATTACACGGTACCCCAAGTGGCATTCGGCAATATACTTTATATGTGTTCGACTGTGCCTTGAGTACAACATAACATGATATGGGTCGGGGACAATATAAGGTGGAAATACATAATTTAATTAATTATCAGAGGACTCAGTTAAACTTCAATTTCGCAACACCATTGCACTGGGTAAAAGCTGCAAAAAGTTTGTCGTCTATATACAAAAAAAGAAAACGCTACTAAATCAATCAACTACGTATACAGAATAAGAATTCAAAATTAATGCCTTTAATGTATTTTGTAAAGTGGTAGGGTCCCATAATCACCGCATAAGAATTTGATACTATCTCTCAATTTTAATAAAACTTATGTAAACACTGATGCGAAGGGAAACACATTTAAATTACAGATGATTGATTAATTATGTTTTATAATTTTAGCGCCAGATACTGACACATGGAAAGAGACATTTTGGATCGACAAAAACAAGCGGTGTCATATGTATGTGCTCGTGTGTGTGGTTTTCTTGTTATTTCTCTCTTGTGTCAAAACAAAATTTACTTTTTAATTTTATATTTTAAAACTAGTATATTACTTCATTGTAGATTTAACAAGAAATTATTAAGCGATTCACTCAAAGTAATGATTAAATTAAACACGAACAGGCAGATATATGAGTAAAGAAAATGGATGTCAGACAGCTGTCACGATTTGAATAGAATCGCATTCGCAAAGAGTCTTTATGATAAATGTTTGAATTAGTTTGGCTGAGAAAGGCCAGACAATTGGTGAGATGTGATGTTCAAATTATAGATGTAATAAACATTTTGAAAAAAATCGGATGTAGACATGCACGCGATCGTCACGGTTGTAGAGTCATTATTCCGTGTCCAACTATCACAGAGCAACAACGAAAATAAAAAATGACATGAGACGCAAACCAAACCAGACATATCCGCATCTGATTTGTTGTGTTTTTAAAAACAACAAATACCCCCAGTAAACAAGTAAGCAAAATTAAGCATGCAAATCACAATTTACATGCGTATTATCAAATATACCAGGCAACAGAGGGCTATTCAAACCGGATCGGTTGCAGTAGAATTTTTGTTATAAACACAGTCACACCTCCAGGTCCTGATATAGACATAGTACAACATTATTATCTGTGTTACTTGGTAGTAGGATAGATAAATATTACGTAATTTTTGTAATCACGATATTTCAGCCTGTCGAATTGTAATCGATGCATTAAAAACAGCGGTGCATTAATCCGACATAAATGACTCATAAACGATCAGAGACAAACAGGATGTTTAGTTTAATTTTGTAAACATCCATGTATAACAGATAATGTACAATGCGCTATATTATCACTGCCGAGCAAATACAGGTTAGAATGCGCTCGTCTTTTTATTCACTTTTTTTATTCACATATCTCTAAATAGGTTACAGTGTTTGAATCTATATTGCAATTACGTTGCGACATGATTCGTTGTCTTTGTCGCGTCTTTTGTTATTACCTTACCTGCGCAACAAGTTGATTCAAAACGGCTAATTTCAAACTTTGGAGATCGTCGTATTATATGTGGTCGAACTCTTGATGAGAATACATCGTGGGAATAAATCATTTATGAACAATAATAGAGAGAGTATTCAATTTATAAGATTATGTAAAATATAATTTTAGGAATATCTGATTGAAATAATCCGTGTGTTAACGTAGAGAATTGTTTGATTGCTAGAATTGTGTGCCGGACTGGTGCACATTCTTGCTTATTGATAAGCGTAGAACACGAATCGCGACGACAAAAAAAAAGAAAACTGATTTTTTCATATTAGTAAAAAGAAATATTAGATGCTACAGCAGATTTTACCATTCAATAATCTTCAATTGCGATATTAAATTTATCGTAAATTAGAAAATTTGCTTTGGAGGCAAAAGCAAGTTTTCGTTCAATGATAATCATGTACAACTCCAAAACGCATACGTATAGGTAATTCGAACCGCATATGCACGATTAGCATATTCATTATAGCATCGAACTAACTGTCAAACAAGTTTTATTTTACGATATATCAACAAGATGCGTTCAAAAAAATCAAACATGCTCAAAAATATACTCAGCGGATATAGAACACATGTATAATTAATTAGTGGCCGTCAGGTTTAGATGAGGAGGGGGGACCCTCTAGAATTTGCAGATACGTTGAACATAATTTTGAATTAAAAGACGGCCCTTAAATAATAACGTGCTGGCATCATGTTGATGTTAGAAATCACTATACACATAAATGCACCACAAATGCATATGGCATAATATATAAGGTTGTGCCATGGAACATCCGGGACATGGAACATTAGGACTACTGATACAAATTACCTGGATGTGGCTTTTAGTTACACTTGACAAATAAATCTCCTACACACATACGATTTGTACGTGACAACACGCCTAGTTACCAATGCATCAAATCACCACTGCCGCAGATATCAATAATGTAACGTCTCTCAAATCCCTGATTTCAGTTACTTTCACATAGCAACGCAATAAAGGCATTAGTCGCCATGAGCAACGCTTCGCCAATTATATGGAGTATGCTAACCCCCAGCAACATACATAACACCTGCAATTGCACTTTCAAATTCGCCACTACGTTATACAAAGAGAACTGAAAGATCACCTGATCTCCCTTCAACGTTTCAAA